ACGTACGTCACTCCGAATACGAATTCGATCGACTCATATTTACTAAACACGCTCTATTTCTCTTTCCAATGATCGTTCTATCAGACTCGATCCGCTTCTATTTGTGGGTCAACTTCATTTGCTGTCATGAACGTGTCGACTAAGCATGACCGACCCGCAGCTCTCTGCCGATCCCGACTCAAACGACTTCGATACCAAGCCAAGCCTTTGTTTTTGAAACGCGAGGTCCCTTGCGCAAGCCAAGACTTTTTTTTTTTTTTTTTTTTCAATGACCATTTCTCGATTCATGCGTGTCATCCTCGCGCAGGCGCCATGCTAATTTTCTCTCTATCGTTCCAATTTCAACGGATGTCCCGAAGGACATGCGCAGCCAAGCCTTGCTAATCACTCGCAGCCTCATCACTCCAATCCGCTCGTTGGTGCTATCTGCCCCTCTGACAGAGGCGTACACGCGCGCCTACTCTGAGCGGAGTCATTCTTTCCTCTCCGTTTCCACACCCCCCCCCCCCCCCCGTTCCTCTGCCCCCTCCTTTCTCTCCCCCCCGTTCTTTTCCCGCGTCTCTTTCTCACTCTATGGCCCAGTTCCTTTTTCACGGCCGACTTCTCCAACCGATTTGTGATCGCTGGTGGTCCTTCCCGTCCCGTGCAGCCCGTGCAGCCACGTGGCTACACTGTACATTCACTCCCACCTCATAACCATCTCAAGTACCCGTGCGGCACGGCAACGTAGCTACTGTTGTCCAACCTATCACCGCTGCCTCCTTTCCTAGTGCCGTCACAAGGCACACTCATTTCGATCCGGCCACCCCTGAAAGTGAAGACACATGACGTGCTGCTCCCCACTAATGGGCTGGAGCATTTCCCAACATCAAGGGAGAAAGGAAAAAACAAGAAAGTCAAGACAAATCCATATGCATCTTGACCAACCAGGTATTCCCCACAGAGCGCTCACCCGGCCCCCACCTGCCATCCACCGCCTGCCCTGGACAACTACGCCCCTTCCCAAAACAAAAAAAAACAAAAAAACAAAAAACTACGCGCCTGCCCGAGAGATACCCTGGCAGCCAGGCTAGCTCAAGCAAAGCCTTGCTAGTCGCTCGCAGCGTCGGGCAGCCAATCCGCGCGTTCAGGCTTAAGCACAGCCAGTCGCCGAGCCAGATCACTCTTTCTTCTTTTCATTTTTCAAGTGGGGATCGGGACGAACTCCCTCAGTTACAAACAATGCAAAATTAGAATTAACAAAATAAAAAACAAGGCAAAGCTCACTGCACGAATCAGTCACTGCACATGCAGCTGCAAATCTTACAGCGCGCCAAATATCACAACACCTACCCCTGCGTGCCCCCCCTCTTCCGCCGCGCCGTGCAGCTATCTTCTATTTCTTCCTTTTCCCTTTTTGCTTATATCTATTATATATATGTATATTTCTTACTTTTCCCTTTTTGCTTATATCTATATATATACACATATGTATATCGTTTCCCTCTTGGGGCTGTTACCACAATCAGGCTAGCTTCCACACGTCCTCGCCCATTCAAAACCCCGACCGAATAAGCCAGCGATCATCGCCACACTCCACTCCTCCCCTCACAGGGCTTGTCCCCCTACCCTGCTGATCACAACTCTCAGCAGCTGCATATGCTAACTCCACCTACAAAGCAGGACTACCATCTTCCTCCGAACAGCGCGCAACCTGATAATGAATGTATACAAGCTACTTCTACAATCCAGTACAGCCAAAATGATGGTGCGTTGTGCTCGGGGGAAGACGGTAGTCCAAGACGCGTGCTGAAGTAGAAAAATCAGAAAATAAAAAAAGAATGGCCCCGATGACCATTAAAGAAAAGGGGTAGGGGAACAGGCAGAAGCTAGGTTAGAACAAAGAAAGGAGAGCACAGGAAAGTTGAGGAGAAAACAGTGCAACTACGTACGTCATATTGCGGCAAGAGAGAGCCTGAGGGCATACTCACACGGGACTTTTCATCGTACAATCTGGACGTGATTGCACTCAGATTCATCCACATCTGGCAGTAACGACAGGCAGATACATGACACGGCGAAAAGCCGGCAGGCCGGCCACAGTTAAACGAAGGCGCACCACTCAGAGGGAACACAAGAGTAGACAAGCGAACGGGAGAAAGAGCAAGAACAAGAAAAAATTAGCACAGTGCAAAGATCCCTGCCTACGCCAGGGGCAAAAAAAAGCGAGAGGAGAGGAGAGAGGAGTAGATGACAGGAGTGGAGAGCAGAGGAGAGAAGAGAAGAGGAGAATGTCCGTATACAGGACGTGCAATGGGAAGGAGAGCATCAGGGAAGACGTAATCGGCGACAAGGACACAAGCGGGCGGAAGCGAAACCAGGCCACGAGCATTACGTGGCCAAGTGTGGCCGAGTGCAAGCCAGTGCGCCATCTTCCTGCGAAAATAACGCACACCCATCATGAGGGTATCGGACCGGAAATCTCACCTGTATATTCAAGATCAGGATGCCTTCTGCTCGCGGGAAGACGGTAGCGCGGTTATGTGTGGGCAGTGCAGATAAAGTACGGACTGGGTAGAGTAGTATACAACAATCTCGACGGTAATGATTGGTTGCTGATCTGTTGAAATTTCGACAGTGTTCACTGATCTCTGGAGATTCCCTGAGGTCCTTCGGATCCGGAATGAATGCCTATGAAGCAAATACCATAGCTGCATAGTGCGGCCAAGTGCAGCCTAAGTGTTGCCAAACTTGCCTAAGGGCATACTCACACTAGCACTTCGTTACTTATTTCTGGACGGAATTGCGGCCAGATGCATACAGATCCGACCGTAGATGCGATCAGATACATTTACTATATGTCAACTGTGAGTACGCCCTAAGTACGGCCAAGTGCGCCCAAGCGTGCCTACGTGCGCCCAAGCGTGGCAATGTCGCCCAAACGTGCCTACGTGCGGCCAAAATGTGGCCAAGTGTAGCAGTGTGGTCTAGTGCGGCCAAGGGCGTCGCTGTACTATTCTCGAAAATTTCAAAACGAGAGTGAATCTTCCGCTAGAATATGGAAAGATACACGGCCATGATTTTTGTCTCTTGCGCATGTAGAGAGTAGTGCAGCGAAGCCCCAAGTGTGCTCAGCAGCAGTCGAGTTGCCAAGGGAGTGCGACGTAAGCTCAAAGAGACGAAGAGAAGGTGGCCACAAGCAATAAGCATCTGATTCTAAGGGAGAAATTCGGTCACGCCTGGATCGTGTGCAGATAGAGGAGCTAACCTGCAGACACCGATCCATTCAATCGCCAGTGCCAACGTGTGATCGGATCTACCCAACTTCCCCGTCCCCCAGATCGCCCTCTCTTTCTGCCGTCCGGGTACTGTTACGCTTGCAACAAAACGGCACTACGGTTTCCCCACAGCATTCGCATTCCGAGGACAACGTGGAGGGTATTTGGTTGGGCGGAGGGTGGGGGAGGGGGGCAGGGAAGTACGGAGATCGAGTCCTGACAAAGGATGGGAGAGGAGAGGAGGATGGGAGAGGAGAGGAGAAACAGGGACACAAAAGAAAGGGCAAAAGATTGAAAAGACAAACGGAAATGCGGTCGAGAGCTGCAGAAGACTAAGTTGCGCCTTTACGGGCAAAGCGTGGAAACGCGCTGGAGGTTAAGACACATCGTTTGTGTCGAGAGACCTCCCGCTTATCCCCCCCTCCACCCCTCCTTCCCTCCCTGCCGCCATCGGTGGATAGATGGATAGATCTGAGACGAACAAGAAGATGAAAAGAAGATGGTGAAAGATCGTCGTGAACAATAATACTAAAAACAGCAGCCATAGACAGCTTCTCGCACATGCTTCAACAGATAGACATTACGTCTCCTTATGTACTGTCCTCAGTAAGAAAAGAAAGGAGAAGATCGTGAAGAAGAGGAATAATAAAAACAGCAACCATAGACAGCTTCTCGCACATGCTTCAACAGATAGACATTACGTCTCCGCACGCAGACGAAAAAAGAAAAGAAAGGCAGACGATCGTGTAGAAGAGGAATAATGAAAACAGCAGTTATAGACAGCTTCTCGCACGTGCTTCAACAGATAGACATTACGTCCCCGCATGCACTGTTCTCAGTCAGAAGAAAAGACAAAAAAAAGGAAGAAGATCATGAAGAAGAGGAATCGTGAAAACAGCGGCCATAGACTGTTTCTCGCACATAACTCAGCAAATAAAAACACGACGTCTCCGCAAGCAAGCTGCGAAACAAGAAGAAGACGAGACTGACGAACAGGAGAGATATATAAGGCGAAGACGAAGAAGCAAAGACACCGAAGAAGAGAGAAAGAAGAAGGACGAGACGGAGGAGAAGGAAAAGGACTGATCAACGGACGACAACTGTTCAGGGAATGGTTTTGTTCGGACACGACAAAACGAGAGGCCACTTTTAATATTGCAAATACATTGACGAGGAGATCGGACAGGCATTGGCCTCGATTGACCACCAAAGGAAAAGAACTAAAAACAAAATGAAGAGAGCACCAGGTGCGGAGAGAAGCAGAATCGGGGGAGATCAACAATGCTTTGCGAAACTTACCTATGGGACGAAGACACAAAAATCGAGCAGGAGAGGCGCTTGTTGAAGCCTTTTAAAAAAAGAAGGTGAGGACGCTCGATCATCCCCCAATAGCCGGACGCTCGCGGACGTTTCTCAGAAGACAGAAAATCAGAGGAAGAAGAAGATAAGATTCTTTCTCCAAGCAATGGCTGCAAGAAAAAATAAAAACCCATCTGTTATAAAAAAAAAAAAAACAGAAAATCAGAGGAAGAAGAAAAGATTCTTTTTCCAAGCAATGGCTGCAAGAAAAAATAAAACCCATTTGCTGAAAAAAAAAAAAAAAAAAAAAAAAAAAAAGCTCGATAAATTGAATAGGAAGTATTGGGGGGACTGTTTGCAACAAAAACCCTTAACTGCAAGAAAAATAAAAGTCGATAAATTTAATAGGAAGCATTGGGGGGACTTTGCAGCAAAAACCCTTACCTATAATACGGCAGTGGTCGCAGTAAAGACGTTTAGTTTCTTCGATTCGTTCCTCAAAAATGTAGAGCTTGAAGTTGTTATCTTGATCACCCTCGAGACTGATTGTCCAAGCCGACACTCCTTCGGGAAGAAAAAGAGACGGATCGGAGGTGACGTTCACGGCAAACTCGTAAAGAAGAGACCGGATGTTCGTGCGGAAGGGGCCGCTAAATTCCGCCGGGTAGCCTTCCTCACCAAACCTCCCCACTGGAAAGCTTGGCGCTACCCGATGCTTCCTTCGCATGCCCCGTGCTCCCACCATATCCCCTATCATCCTACCACACACACCACCTGATGGTCATGGAGTGCCCGCTCTTTGCACCACGCCTACCCCAAACACCGCCGTCTCATATCCAACTCTCTCTCTCTCTCTCTCTCTCTCTCTCTCTCTCTCTCTCTCTCTCTCTCTCTCTCTCTCTCTCTCTCTCTCTCTCTCTCTCTCTCTCNCTCTCTCTCTCTCTCTCTCTCTCTCTCTCTCTCTCTCTCTCTCTCTCTCTCTCTCTCTCTCTCTCTCTCTCTCTCTCTCTCCCCCTCCTTGTGATCGGAGTGAGTGTTATCTTTGTAACGCTTCCTTGTGATCGGAGTGAGTGTTGTCTTTGTAACGCTGTACAGCTCTCTCTCTCTGTCTCTCTCTCTCTCTTTGTGATCGGAGTCAGTGTTGCCGTTGTAATACGGTACAGCGTTCACCACTGTTGATCGCGCATCGATCCACTGTAATGACAGGCTTAACGTTTATGTTACCTCAATGTAAGGAAGCTAAGGACTCCGTTCATCGCGACATATCTGTCTAAAACCCCGTCCCTCTCCACCTGCTCCCAACCCCCGTCCCTCTGCACCTGCTGCGCTTTCGTTCGACTGACTACTTCAACTTGCATGCCACCGCAGGACCTCTTCAACGAACCCAAGTATACCCTTTTCGCCTTCTCGATCGACCTCTTCCAGATCTCATGCAGAACCTCGCCCCCTCGCATTGCGTCAGCGAGCAGCTGGTCGAGTGAGTACGGCAATGCTCTATCTGCCTCCCCCCCTCCACATCTCCAACTCTCCCCCTTCCTGCCTCACCATTCACCGCTCCACATCTCGAGTTCACGATCGACTTGTCCTCCTCCCTGTGTCGCTGTTCAGGCTTTCCGACACAGCGAACGACTGTTCACTCGTGACATAGAGAGCACTGATTGATTCACAAGTTGATGTCTCCTTCGACAGCACTTCCACCTCCGACGATAGCAACTCGTGACTTGTTTCGTTATTTCATTTCACAGTCGCTCCGCTAATAAGGCCAAAGCTAATAACTTGCCATCTGGTCGCCAACGTCCTTCCAGAGCCAGAACAGACAAACATCGACGCTCGAACCGTCCACCTTTCAAACCTCCTTTCAGCCAGGAAGGAGCACGCTAGACTCTCCCTCTACCCTCTTCTCCCGGCCACCTTCAACCCGGACCACGCTAGACTCTCCCTCTACCCTCTTCTCCCGGCCACCTTCAACCCGGACCATCAGTCCAAATGTGATCGTCCCTGTGCTCACGCTCGCGCAAGAAACCAGCCACGACCACATATACATAGCGAAGAGAGAACCGGCCGAGAGGGTGGGGAAGGGGTAGGCCAGGGAGGGCGGGAGGGCGGTTGCGCGGGAGGGAGGGAGGGAGGGAGGGAGGGAGGGCAGGTTGGAGCAGATAATCTCGTCAAGCTGTACAGCTCCTCTGTTCTGTCTGTGCGAAACAGAGGAAGGGCAGGAGAGGAATTCAGCTGCAGCCTGCTTTGTCAGACTGTACAGCAGCTGCTATGTCTCTGACCACTCTGGTTTGTACAGGACACCCAACCACACTAGTAATGACGGCAGTTCCGTGCGTTTTGTCCGTTGATCTTCAGCACCTCTCTCACACCACTGCCAGTAGCGCCATTCCAAGCGGATTTATAGCTTGCCAATCTCTCTACCGGTAGTGGAGCGCGGCAAAAAACTTTCGGTTCCTTCAACCGTAGAGGAAACAGCGGGGTCGACAGAACCGAATACGACGCTGCTGTCGTCCATAGCCGTGTCGGCGGGCGCGAGCGGCGCCGAGTGCATAGGCGGGGGCTTGACCGAGGGCGGGGGAGGGGGGGGCGGTAACAGGGGGCCAGTTTTGCGAAGGCGGGGTCGAGAGAGAGCGAAGGCGGGGCTTCGTCCTTGTGTGCTCCTTCACGAAAAGCATATTTTCGTGAAGGAGCAGAACTGGCGGGGTCGAGAGAAGCCCGCCCGTTTTTCCTTCCCCAAACGTGATCCACGGCTGTTTTTCGCGCCCACGGACCGGGTCCCACTGGGGCGCTCTTTTTTCTGTGCTTTCATTTCTGACCGTAGATTTCAGAAATCGATGGCGGCAAGCATCGAAACTGAAAATGAAAATGAAAATGGAAAAAAGTACGGTCAAGTGGAACACCGCCCGGCACGAAGTCCATTGGCCAAGTCCCACTACCGTCTTCCCCCGAACACAACGCCCTTCATTTTGTCTGTATCTGGCCGTAAATACAACTTGTGTACATTCATTTTAACGGTGCGTCATGTTCGGGGGAAGACGGTAGCAGCGCTTAGTTTCCTCAACGCCCGAATCTGGACGTGTTTGTGGAGGCGTGGGTGCAGAAATCGCCTTGAGGAAAAAAAAAGAGGTCCAGATTCGGGCGTTGAGGATACTTGACGCTGCTATCGTTTTCCCCCGAACATAACGCACCCTGAAAATGAACGTATGCAAGGCATGTTTCCGGCCCGATACAGTCAAAATGAGGGTGCGTTGTGTTCGGGGGAAATCGGCAGTGGCACTTGGCCCCCGTTTATACCCGAATTCCTCGTTTCTCACGCTGGCCTCTTTTCACTGCTCAACGTTATACATGTATGTATCTGGACTTTGTTGTCCACGAGATGCATTTCGGATCGGCCCAGCATCTCGAATGCAACCGGTGTCCATGTACTGTCTGAATGCTGGGAAGCGGAGCGAGGCTTCATTACCACCTCGGCCACGCGGGTTCGAACCTCCCACCACAAAGAATATAAGACGGGAAACGGAAAGAAGGAGTACGGGCATGTGGGACCTTGCACACGATCTCGGATTTTTTTTGTTTTTCTTTATTACGCCATTTGTTTCTTTATTCTTTTTTGTCGCTTGCGGTGGTTGTGCCTCGAGCGGCCACCTCAAACCGTAACGCCAGAAAAACATTGGGCCTCGCTGCACTACTCTCCACATGCACAAAAGACAAAAAATAGGGCAGTGCATCTTTCCACGTTCTAGTCGACGATTCATGCTCATTTTTCATATTTGGAGAGTAGTGCAGCGAGGTCCATTGTTTGATAAGCCGCAGGTGTGGGGCTCAAGTCCCGCCACACTCCGTTCAAACGACCGCAAATGACGATTCTTTCGTAACGGACGCCCCCTCTGCTTGTCGCAGGAGAGCCAAAAAGGGCGGGCAGAAAAGAACAGTCCTCCCCGCCAAATCCGCTCAGCCAGCAGACAAAACGAATCGAAGCGACGGATATAACGGAGGCGGGGTAGTTAAAAAATCGGATTCCAAAAGCCGCCGGGGGCGCAGAGGATGCGTCGCACCAGACAACACACCGCCCTCCAACACACCACGTGTACTGCCACACACCTTGACTCAACAACATTGACGTGGGGCGCGATCCCCCAAAACTATAAAAACATGATCTTTGCTAGGTGGAGCCCAAAGACGTTCCATTATCCAGCGGCCTAGCTCAGTTGGTAAGGCACGCAACTGGCATTCAGGAGGTCTTGGGTTCAATCCCCATTGGCCTCATGTACCTTCCTGGGCAAGCTTGGCGCCCGCCACCTAGAGATATGCCGTTGGTCCCCCCGAGTGGCATTGAGCAGAGACTGCTGATGTTCATAGGGGAAGGGGACGGGAGGGGAGGCACAGTGACTGGCCCATCGAAGAAGCTCGGTCCTGATGCTACCGGCTGACCCCTGGCCAGTATCGCCCACCTGCTGTAGCAGGTATGGCACCTGCTGGTGGGTGCAGCTCCCGCATGTTCCCTCGTTGGAGGCTTGAGCACGGATGTGGCTGCTACGGGGTTCCCCGTAATACTATAATGACAATAAAAAAAGGCCTGAAAGGCCGTCCTGTCCAGATTTGACAGGTAATTGNAAAAAAAAAAAAAAAAAAAAAAAAAGACGTTCCATTCCCAATCCAAATTCGTTGGGGGACAGTTCACACTGGTTGGGCTTCAGGGGAAAAAAAAAAAAAAAAACGTTCCATTCCCAATCCAAATTCGTTGGGGGACAGTTCAACATCAGTGTGCAGGGACCCAGAAAACCTGTATTGGATCCAGGGCAACACCCCCATATGTTTGGCGTGTGGATTAGGGTGTGAAAGAGATTCCTGCAAATGCGTCAGGGCCTACTCACACTAGGGGCACTTTTGGCAAAGTTGCAAAATTTGCCACCACACTTTGCCTGCTCACCCATCAAATTCGCAATTGGCTGTGGCCTATGTCAGGGCCTGCAGGGACGCGGGCAGAGGTGCTAGCCATTTTTCTTTTTTCCCCCTCCGAATTGCAGGCATCCCTCGACTACTTCGCCGTCTGACCGCACAAGCGGGCTATCTTCACAAGTGGCATGGCCTTCACATTGTCTTTTCCAATTTGCTAGTGCAATTTGCTACCCCTGTGTGACTGCGCGGCACGTCAAAATGGCAAACTGGGAGTAGCAAACCTGGCATTTTTTTCTGTTTTGCTACCCGTGTGTGGGCATGCCGTTTCAGTCAGGTTTTTGGAAGTTCTTTTCTTTTCCGGAGAACATGCCTTCGGCGCACACCAGCTCTCCTTGTGACAATCTATCTTCTGATACACGCGACTTTTTGCGCGATTGCACCTTGGGGGGGGGGGGGGGGGGGGGGGGGGGGGCAGGGGGTCAGATGGGGCTAAGGGTCAAATTGCATGAATGCCCCCATTCCTTTTCTTTCCTGTCCTCTCTGTTTTGTGAGAGCTTGGTCCCACAGCGATTGCTGGTTAGGATGTGCCTTAGTGAGCGCAGGAATAACAGTTGACACAGCTTTTTCTTTTTCTTTTGGGAAATTCGGGCAGGGAACTTTAGCGCGATCATCATGCGGGGAAATCATTTTGAATTTTTGAATTCTTTGGAAAGAATGTCGGAGACTGCACGGGCACTCAAAATTAGGACTCTAATTAGACTAGGATTTTGGGGACATCATTTTGTTTTTTTGTAACTGCACGATGCTCCTTACTCACACGCGTTTTGCTGTGCTTTGTCCTGCACTCTATTCCCGCCGCAACTTCATTTTAATCTCAACTGTAATTTTCTCTTGTTT